CCCCGCCCACAGCTGCCTCAGCTTCAAGGACGTCTGGCCCGCTGTGGCCACATGGAGCGCTGAGCCTGAGGGCAGGCAGGCCTGTTCCAGAACCCGGGAGGGCGCAAGCGCAGTGCTGCAGGTGGATTTCTGAGGCCGAGGCCAGGTGAGTGGGCCTGCAAACCGTCCACAGGACTAAGTCCTTTCCACAAGATTGGGTGTCAGTACCGTGGTTGTAGCCAGCTAGACACAGCGGACACTCAGTTCCAGGGTTAAGGTCAGGCTGGCCCAGCTGTGCATTTAAAACACCCGGTTGGGAGGTGCTGAGCATTTAAATGCCCTCCCTCCCAGACACCTCCCTCTCCTGTTGCATAAAAATTAGGAAGGGGAGCGAGCGAAGGAGACTCCAGCCCAGAAAAGCCATGGAAAATGAGAAAGGCCTTTGCCTCCCTTGCCCAGCCCCAACTGCCTCACAGTGCCAGTTCCCAAAATGACCCATTTTGAGAGAAGTAAATGTCAGGGCAAGGACCAGGGCATCCTTCATCAAGAAGGCAAAACAAACAAACAAACAAAAAAAAACAAGGACCAAGTCACCCTTAGCAGGTGTAATCTACAGTGTCCAGTACCTGTCACAAGTGACTACAGACACCTGGGGACTAGGGGTGCGATGTAGTGTCAACATGAAAACAAGTGGACACCAGGCAGCCTCTGCCACATGAAGCCATGAAAAGGCGAGGAGGCCATGGTCACCAGGCTTTCTGCTCTGAGGGTGGTCTCAGCTACCAACTCCCAGCCACCCCTTCCTGCCACACTCATCCTGCCCAAGGCAGGAAGCGCCTCCTTCAGAAGAATCAGACCCATAGGGGGCTGGGACAGCATCAGCTTCAGGGCCTAGCTTGATTCCCCCAAATTTCAGGTTGGAGGTCTCTGGATCTCTGAGTCATACATTCAACAGTTATTGATCCCCTACTAGTGTATGAGATGGTAAGCTTCATCTCTACTCTCAAACTGCTTACAACTCTGATAAAGGCCTCTTTAGTACCTAGTCGCCGCAGTAATGAGTGCTCCACCCCCATGCACAGCACAGTGAATTTTAATGTGTCCCCTATGGAGGAGGGGAGATTAAACTACCCACTTTTGGAGACACCCCAAAGGTGGTCTGGCATTTTGGTATGCAAAGTATTTGGTCCAATCTATCACTGGCTTAGGATACCAAAAGGCACATGAAGTTGGCTCAACTGCTCTAGGCTGAGGCAGAAGGTGAACATGGAAGTGGTCTGGAACAGATAGGCAGAGCACAGGGATGGGCTCAAGTTCTTGTGGACAGAGGTAGTTGGTCCTGGGTGGATGCTGGGGCAGCCGAGGGCAGCCTGAGGCTCAGGCTGGGTAGAGGCTGCTCCAGTGGCCTTCGTCAGCCCAGTCAACCAGCTCATTGCTCTGGAACCACAGCTGGATCTCCCTCTGGGCCCCCTCCACGGAGTCACTGGCGTGGATGACATTCCTGTGCCAGGTAATAGGTAGCAGAGGTAAGGAACAGGCTGCAACATGACATGCATCTTGGGATTCCTAGGAACGGTCTGATTCCCTACTGTCCAGAGAAGCAAACTGGGTGATTATGCAGAGGGGAAAGGAAGAAGAGGGGAGCTAGAAAACTGGGTTCCAGCCTGGCCTCAGCCTCTTTCTGACAACCTCATGGACCAGCCCAGACTGTTACTGGGAGCCTAATTTTCCCACCAGTCCTCCCTCAGGGTATCTGGCAAGAGTTAGATAACAGACAATGATGGCAGAGTACATACACAACACACAGGGAATGCTTTATCTCCTGAGACTAGCAAGCAATACGTGTGATGGCCCACACCAAAAGCCTCTTCTGGCTCTACTTTCGCCCAGCTTGTGACTGAGTGTGCCAGGGCCCCTGTACCTGCTGATGTGGAAGCTGAAGTCTCCTCGAATGGTGCCAGGGGCAGCCTCAGCTGAGTCAGTGTGTCCTATCATGGCCCTTGAGGTGCAGACCACATTGGGGCCTTCCCAGACCTGCAGCACAGAGATAAAGGTAGGGAGAAGTGAGGATCACCAAGGGTTCAGCAGCTATGGGCTCAATCCGGGCCCTCCACCCCTTCCACCAGGCCATACCATGGCCACCACGGGGCCGGAGCTCATGTAGCTGATGAGGGCTGGGTAGAAGGGCTTCCTCTGAAGGTCATGGTAGTGCTCAGCAAGGACACTCTCTGGCGCCTGAGTGGCATTGGGGGAAGGAGTGAGAGGAGCCCCTGGAGAGGGAACCCCACTGGGCACTGGGGCAATGACTTTGCAGATAAGCCCTGCATGAGCTGGCATGCCAACCACAGCAGTGTAGGACAAATGCCACCTCCACCTCTCCATCCCTCCCCTTCTACTTCCAACAGGAAGAACGCTCCTCCTGAAGCAGGGCTGACATGAAGGGCTGAGGTCCTGAGGTCCGTGAGAAGCCCTCCCCCTAGTGCACTAAGGGACACCCATAGGCGGAGAGCCCTGGTACCTGAAGCATCTTCATCCCCACCAGCTTGAAGCCCCTCCTCTCAAAACGTCGAATCACATCCCCAACAAGCCGCCGCTGCACCCCATCTGGCTTCACGGCCACCAGGGTCCGCTCCCGGGTCCAGGAGGGCCCTCCTTTAGAAAAGGAGGGTTCAGGGATGCTGCCTCACCTTTTCATGTCTCCTGACCTGTGTTTCCCTGCCAGGACTCAGCTGCTACCTGGGCTAGTGTCTGCCTCCACCAGAGCAGCTCTGGAGGGGCTAAGTGTGGTGCTCAGAGCCAGGAACTGCCCAGCATGTTGCTGCGTGTCAGGGACAACCAGGGCACTGGGTTCCTGGGGGCTTCCAACCTGTTGGAGAGGCCATAACTCCTCCCAGGCAGTAGCAGAAGCTGCCCATGATGGAGGTGGTGTCACCTGAGAAGGCATCTTAGAGAGCTGGAAGACCCAGGGATGCCTCACTGGAAAGAAAGCATGACTCTGTCTCACTTTTGACTCCTGTCCTTGGGGATGATATAGCACAGACACTGTCTGAACCACCACCTGCCACATCACCAGGGACCCAGAGCCCATCTTCTGGGTCTGAGGTGAAGAAATAGCAGAGAACCAGGGAGAAGTGCAGTATATTCTCCCCACCAGGGAGGCCATGGACACCAGGACAAAAGGGACCTGGGGATTGAGAAAGTAGGTAGAGGGGTTCCTGTCTGCAGGAGAGGAAACCTGGAGGACTTCTCTTAGACCTTAAGGGCCAGGCAGGAAGTCTGTGCTGCTGTGGGGTTTCAAGGCAGGCAGCTTCCAGACCCAAGGAGAGCACCAAGCCCTGCCCCACACAGCCAAGAAGACAGGAGGCTGCATTACCCTCCTACAGACCCAAGCCACTTCTAGAGCTCTGTAAACCCTCAGCATTGGATCCAGGGTCAAATAAATGTGCTTTTGAGAGAGCCCAGACCCTGGATGTCCTGCAAAGTCCTTCAAAGACAGAACTGGCAGAGAAATGAGAGTAGGGCTGGAGCCAGCCAGCGTCCCCAGGAGCATCTGCAGCTGCCATTCTTCATTCCCAGGAGGAAAATGAACCAAAACCTGTGCCGTGGGTGACCACACCAGGGGACGCCCCCGTCTTGTTTGTTCCCCCCAAACCCAGTGCCTAGGGGCCCGCTGTGTAGGCTGGCTTTGGAAGATGGCAGCTGACTCTTCCCAGCGTTTGGAACACCATGACATCTGGCTCTCAGCTAGGGTGGAGGACCAGTTACAGATATGAGCCCCGGGGCCCCAAAGAGGGAAGGGCCAGGCTGACTTAAGGCCTGGAGAAAACACCCCAAGAACAGCGGTTCCGTGGGAGGAGTTTTCATCTGCTGAGAATGACTTCCCCGCCAGGAGCCCCGGCCTCGAAGGGATCGCCATCACCACCCAACGTGGCCACTAGGCCTCTGGCTTCCTCCTGCTCCGGAGTCTCCCGGTCCCTCTGTCCCGAGGCAACCTGGAGAGGTGGGCGGCAGGCATGGGGAGTTGGAGGGCAATGAGCGGTAGGGGGAGGGGTGCAGGACCCCAACCCGGCCCGGGCAGGAACCCGAGGAACGCCCCTCTCCAGCCTGCAACTTCCCGGAGAGTCGGATCGCCCCCCACACCCATCCGCTCGGCGCCCAGCGAGTCAGGCGGGCTGCGGGGGTCAGGGCGCCCCCAGGGTTGCCGGGTCCTCACGTGCGCCAACCAAGGCTGAGAGGGGCCTGCCGCCGGTCCCCTCCCCCGACTCACCCGAGCTGGGGCGCACCAGCAGGCTGCAGACCCGGGCCCGGGAGCCG